ACACCTCTGACCTCTTCGAAGCCAGTCTCGGCCGCACAAAACGCCTGCTCTGACAGCGTGAGGCCACCACACGCGAAGGCTGCTCTACCTTCTGGACTTTTCCAACAGGACTGAGGCACAACCTCAGTCCGGGCTGTCTACCGACCTGCACTCTGACCGGGAGGGCATCAGACTCCAGCGGCCCCCGCCCCTCCCGTCTGTTTCCACTTAAACACGCGGCAGACGGTTGAGGACGGCCCGGCCCCCAGCACCCTGTCAGCGCCCGGCTTCCTTTTCTCAAGTCCTCGCCTGGAAGGCCCCTCACCCCCAGGGACGCCAAGCAGCACCAGAAGTGGCCACGCCAGCTGCACCAGGGCCTGGCTTCCTAACGCGGGCACACGGCCGGCAGAGGAGCGGACGCAAGCCCTCCCCGAACAGGCCTCCCAGAGACCTTCCTCACCCGTTTCCAAGCACGGGCCCTTCCTACACTGCCCTCCGCTGAACCTCCACTGACCGCCCCAAGGCAGGGGCCGCGTTCCCCCGAGCAGGAGGGGCTGTGTGCTGCGGCCACCAGCACAAAGCGCTGCCCACGACCTAGGCAGCCCCTTCCTCTCTGGCCGGTGCCACGCAGCCCCATACCCACTGGCTCCCAGGGCCTGCAGGCAGGGGGCTCCAGCTCAGGAGCCCGAGGCTCGAACGCCAAGTTTGGATGGCCGTCTACACACTGCCTTTTCCTTAAGACCTACAAAGCGCACCGGGGAGACAGGCTGCGGGAGGCCCAAGAGCAGACAGACGGCGAGGCTGAGCTCGGAACTGCCCCTGTGGCCGGGGGCCCATGGGGCTTGCCCTAAAGGTCTGGGCCGGGCAGCGAGAGCCGGCCACTCCCTCGAGCTCCGTGGCGGCTGCTCAGCCGTCCTGGAGGCTGGTACACACGGCCAGCCCCGGTTTCCCTGGCTTTCCCTTGCACCTCTCAGAACCGACCGTCTCCACCCGAGGCGGAACAGCCTGGGTCCCCTGGGCCCCTCCTCGGAGCCCTGCGGGCCCGTCCACTCTCTGTGGAAGGAAGGACAGACAGTTCAGGGTCTCATACGGGCCCCCTGGTTGGGCTCTAGCCTTACCTTACAGAATACGAACCGCTAGCTAAGCAAGGTCTTTATCTTGGCTTAACCCCCGCAAGGCGCGCGGCATACGGAGGCGGCATGCCAAGGGAAACCCACACGGCGGACGGCCCCGTGGAGCTGGCCTGTGGGATCACGGGCGCGGCCTGGGCCAGGGCCAGCCCGGGCAGGGGCTGGTGGTGCACCGTGAAGGAGGGGCGGGGGGCCTTGTGCGGGAGGGAGGCGAGCTTGATGGACAGAGAGGCGTTAGCA